GCCACACACTTTATTTAGAGACAGGGTCTCACTAAATTGATTAGGGCCTCACTGCATTGCTGAGAGTGGCTTTGAAATTGTGATCCTACAGCCTCAGCCTCAGAGCCACTGGATTACAGGCGTGCACTGCACCTGCCATCATGACCATTTTTTTTTTCTTTCTTTCTTCTTTTTTTTTTTTTTTTTTTTTTTTTTTTTTTGTGTGTGTGTGGTACCAGGGATTGAACTCAGGAGCACTTGACCACTGAGCCACATCCTTAGCCCTATTTTGTATTTTATTTAGAGACAGGGTCTCACTGAGTTGCTTAGAACCTCGCTTTTGCTGAGGCTGCCTTTGAACTCCCAATCCTCCTGCCTCAGCCTCCTGAGCTGCTGGGATTACAGGCCTGCCCCACGGTGCCCGTTTATGACCATTTTTTGAGGCTGTCTGATGGAAGATTAGTGGCTCCTCAGTTTTTCAGTTCCAGTTTCACATTTTCTGCTCCAACCCCTCTCCCAGCCGACTTGGATCCATTTCCCACCCTGGGTCACTTTGGGGTGGTAGTGGGGGCGGGAGACTAGAAGCCATGGGGAGTGAGTGATCCTGCCTGTCCTAAAGGGACTCTGGGCTTTCAAGACCTGAGGCCGAGGTAGGCAGAGGTGTCCTCCTTAAGGCCTCACTGTGCCCAGGGACTCCGGTGAGAGCAACCCAGTGCTACCCCAGGTGCTGCTTGGGGGCCCCTCCAGGAGTACTTACTGGGGGATTTCAGATCCCATTTTCCAATCTGAAAAATAGAATTTGTCAAGCGCAGGGAAAGTTGTGGTGTGAAGGACTGACCCACCCGGGTCCCTCTTGCTCGTCGGTCTGGGAACTCTTGAGGAGGTGGCCTGACCACTGCCCCACACAGCCCTTCCGACTGTGTTCTCTCTCTTGTCGTTGGAAGGTCCAGGCTGGCAGACTGTAACCGTTTCCAGACCAGAGGCAGCGGACGCCGCTGCCCAGGTACCACCAGGACGCTCCCCTGGGGGAGAAACAGGCAGGGCCATCGGCCTGGGGAACGGTCAGCGCTGGCACAGGAAGCGGGAGTAGGGAGGCCCCCGGGAGGAGGGGGACCTCTCCCAGAAACAGGCTCGGCTGCAGGAGCGCATGCGCCCAAACCCCTGCCTGTCTCAACTTGAGCAGTAGTTAGTAAAAGTCTGTTCTTTCACAAGACTCGTCCCTGGCTTAATACATTTAAAATGGTCGTTTTGGAAAACAGGAGTAAGGTTAAGGAAGTTAAAAACAACCAAAGGAAGAAAAAGCGTGCATTGGCCGGGAATCGAACCCGGGCCTCCCGCGTGGCAGGCGAGAATTCTACCACTGAACCACCAATGCTGARCCGTGGGAAGGGCCAACACCGAGGCTCAGGTGGTCAAAGGCAGACGTCCTTTGAGATCCGGTGTCTGCCCAACCTTCTGGGCTCCAGAAACTGGTCGCCTGGAGCTGGGACCCGATCCCAGCGCTCCTCCCATCTCAAACCCACCTCACCTGGGGGCCGCGGGGAGGAGGAGGAGGAATCTGCGCCCGCCCTGCGGTCCTTTCTCTTTCTCCTCCTCCCATCCTCCGGAATCGTCAGCAGCCCTGTGCTTCCCGGGCCTCCTGAAGCCAGAAAACGGGGWGGGCTGCAGTTCTGGGGACCCTGAGGATGAAAGGGAAGGGCGGCCCCGCTCAGGGACYGCTCTAGGGAACCCCACACACCTGGCCTATCTTGGGCTGGCCCTGAGCAGTACCAGAAAGTTGTTCCAGAACTTATGCCCCTCTCCACTACCCCATGCACCCTCTACACTATCCCCAATTCCTCACCTTCCCCAGGCCTAGCGCCATGGTACCTGAAGCTCCTGCMGGGTGTCCCCACAGCCCCTTCCTGCCAGGCAGAAGAGACCCAGTTGTCTCGCTGAACGAATCCCCCACCCTCCTGGCACCTGCAYCCCTGAGCGCTCAGTGTGTGTGAGAAGGCTGAAGTCAGACAATGTGAGCTTTGGGTTCTTTCTGGAGCTTGTCCTTTTCCAAGGCCTGYAGCAAAGGGGCAGGTGGTCTGGCTACAGCTCTGTCCTTGCCTGCTGGCCCTGCCTGTGCTAGTCGCTGCATCCTGGCAATTGCCACAGGAGGATTAAAGACTCTCACACCCCCACAGTGGCTTTGGGCTCYGACTTAATTCTTCCTTTTCATCCTTTGCCAGATTAAGATCCAGAACATCAACAGTGCCCTGCTTAGGCAGAAAAGCCTTTGGAGGGCCAGAAGCCTGCAGGCAATTGTCCCTTCCTGCCACCTGGAACCATTAGCTCCTCATCAGAGTGCATCCAGGGGAAAGCTGGTTTGCTGTGGTCTCTCAAAGTGACCTTGAGCAAGTCCCAGGGGGTTCTTCAGGTGGAGAATCCTGGGGCTCTAAGGAACAGCTGCGTTATTTCCACTTCCCCAAATTCAGTTAGGGACCAGGTAGAAATTCTGGCCCTAGACAGTGACCCCCGCCCTCCCCAACTCCCCATTTGTCTCTGCAGCAGCAGCAGTAACTACAACCTGAACTTTGAGCTTCACAGAGAAGAAGTCCCCTACAGGTGAGTGGGTCCTACTCCTGGGTCCTCTGGGGGAGATGGTGGTGCTGATCGGCTTGACTTATCTCTCCTGTCCCTATAGAATGTATGAATACCAGAGGATCCCTCCACTCATCAGCCAGATGCCTTCCAAGATGAGAAGGACCCACTTGGGCATGGGAGTCAAGAACAGTTGCAGCCCCTACAAAGGTTCCAGGAATAACCACCTGTCCCTCAGGCAGATAAAGCGTAAGTAAGGGGACATAGATTTCTCCTGCAGAGCTTGGGAGGAACTGTATGGCTGTACCTACAATAAGAACAGGCCCCAGAGCCCTGACAACGTTACCCTCATCTCCTGTGGCCTCTGTGCCCAGGAGCTGAGGTCCAACACTGGCCCTCTCCCAGCAGTCAGGACTGAGGAGCTGCGCTCCATCAGAGGGGAGCTGAGCCAGATCAAAGCCCAAGTGGACAGCCTCTTGGAGAGTCTGGAACACATGGACCAACAGAGAGACCATCCTGCAGGTCAGGCACCCAGGGTGGGCCCAGGCCATGCTCTCAGCCCCAGCTTTTCTTGCTTCTGAAGATGCCAGGATGCCCAGGGTTCCGCCTGGGGTTTTCTCTGTCTGCAGGCCTCCCTTCTCTGGAGTGCACTTCCCGTCTATTCCCTCTGGCTGTTCTTGTGACTGGAGGATGCTTGTGGCTTCTGGGTTGTTCTGTCACCCCCTCCTATTCAGCAGCTATCTGGAGCCTGAGCAGTATCCTGGTCCATCTGCTTCTTGCCCTCCCAAGCCCTAGATATCCTAAATCAATGCTGGACCCTGATGGGGTCAGCTGGAGCCTCCAAACTTGGCCATTGACTGGCAACTCTGCACAGGGACAAAGGACAGTGAAGAGCACAGGAACCCTGGTAGTGAGGGGTCCTCATGCAGAACTCCGGAGCCCCAGCAGGAGCCCAGGGACCAGAGGTTCCATCTGGAGGCAGACAGCTCCGAGGGAAGCACAGACACCCAGCAGGCAGTGAGTGGTCTACCCCTCTTCTCCCCCTTGTATTTGGGTCCTTGTGGCCTTCAGAGCAAGGGAGGGACTTGGGTTTGTGCAGCACACAATAGTGGGGCAGGGGAAAGCATATGACTTCAACTTGAGAGGAGCCCAAGTAAAGGATGGGCCTGGCCCTGCACTTTATCCTCGCAGCTCTGGGCTTGGTCAGCTATGCTATACCAGGGACTACTGCCAAGCAGTTGGGCACTTGGATCTGTTGTGGGCTGAAATATCATCTCCATCTGGAAGGCAGGAGAGGTTTGAGCTATAGACTATAGAGGAAATGTCACAAATGTGTCCCATGGTCCCAGATCCCTTACGTAAGAACCAAATTCTGCCTTCTCCCTGGTCCTACTCCCCCAGGGCCTTTGAGCTGTCTGCATGGCACCAAGCTCCCTGGGAAGCTATGGTACAGTGACATTCCTGGCTGGAGAAGATGCCATTTTTTCAGTATTAAAGGTCCTGAATATTACTGGTTCTCCCACACTSTCTTCTACTATCGGTGGTCCTTAAGATGGGCCAAGCCCACACWGCCTCTTGGGCCCTTTTAGCAAGGCCAGTGCTGCCACGGAATTGGGCATAATGAGCTCCCTTCCTCCACCTCCTCAGTTCCACCCTTGGCCTTCTGAGCTTAGGAGGGCCTTCACTACTGCCTAGGACCTGGGAAAAGAATGGGTTAGAAGGAGAAAATGCTTTCTTTTGCCTGCTGGTTTTGAGTTCCCAGGTCTCAAGAAGCCTGAAGAGGGACTGAGAATATAGCTTAGTAATAGAGGGTGTGCTTAACATGTGCAACTTCTGGGTCCAATTCCAGATGTACCTCACCCCCCCAAAAGACTCTAAAGTTCCCCTGGAGTTGCTAAAGCTCCAAAGACACAGGGGTGGGGGRCAGGTAGCAAAGGGACTACATGTTGACCCTTTTTCCTAGTTCTACTCTGCCTCCCTGTCTTATCAGCTACTTTTTTTTTAAAAGAGAGAGAGGAGAGAGAGAGAGAGATTTTTTTTTAATATTTATTTTTCAGTTTTCGGTGGATACAACATCTTTATTTTATTTTAGRTGGTGCTGAGGATTGAACTCAGCGCCCCGTGCATGCCAGGCAAGCGCGTTACCATTTGAGCCACATTCCTAACCCCACTCTTTTATTTTTTAAAAATATATTTTAGGGGGCTGYGGTTGTGGCTCAGTGGTAGAGCGCTCACCTGGCATGCATGAGGCCCTGGGTTCAATCTTCAGCACCACACAAAAGAAAGAATAAACAAAAGAAAATAAAAATAAACGTATTGTATCCACCTACAACTAAAAATATGTTTTTAAAAATATTTTTTTTAGTTGTTGATGAACATTTATTTATTTGTATGTGGTGCCTAGAATCAAACCCAGCGCCTCACGCATGCTAGGCAAGCACTCTACCACTGAGCCACCACCCCAGACCCATCTTTTTATTTTTTTCTACAGATGAAGAATCAAGCACCCTACCAAGAGGGAAGCCAGTAGGTGGGAACCCTTCCAGGCTCATCAGTTTCATGCACCTTCTTGGGTGGCTCCCTTCCTTGCCTGTTTTTCCGAAGGCCTCCTAGGTGCATCCAGGCAACCTGAGGCACCCATTCTGAGTAATGGAAGAAGAGGCACAGGTCAGGCAGGCCAGCTGAGTCTCCCCATAGTGGTGGGTTTAGCTTTGGAGAGGGTTTTCAGATGAGCTCCCGGACAGCCCAGCAGTAGCTCACCATTCTTATGAAGGTGAGGCTGTCTGGGAGGAGGCAGTTGACAGGGTACTGTAGGGAGCAGCATCACGGTTCCCTGGATGCAGATATGGCTCAGGTGCCACCTCCCCATGAGCCACAAATCACAGTACTATGGAGCACATGCAGCAGCCAGCCCAGCTTTCTCCAGCAGGTGTTGAAACACGTGTGTGCCTCCAGTCTGACACTAAGTTGTAAGACCCTGTGTGTGCCCCACCTAGCCCCTTTTAGTTCCAGACTCCCCATCTACTCTATGAACCCATGCTTCAGAATAGGGGTATAATTTTTGTGTCCAGCTTCATAGTTTCTTGCTAGTATGACACCACATATTTCAGGTTTGCCTCACAAAATGTATTACGTCAGAAGGGAAACATTAAAATTTGTATATCTCCTTCCTGGTTGGGGATTCTTATTGTGGTCTCAAATTTATTCTGGGCTGTCCTAGGCAGTCAGGAGAGAGGCTGAACAGGTCCTTGATACCCTCAAATTTCAAAGCTCATACCAAACTAGGGTACAGAGGGGAAAAGGCTGTGCTGCCTCCTGAACAAGTCTCCTAGCTTCCTTTAATCCAGGTCTGAAGACCCCATCTTCATGGTCAGTTAAGCTAGCTCTGCCCTATAGAATAGCGGGGCTGTATCTGAAGGTGAGGCTGTCGGGCAGGAGGCGTTGTATCTAAGAATTCTCACTCTTGGCAGTGCATCTGCCATCTCCCCAGGCCACACTGCTCAGGGTCTTGCTCCCAGGGGCACCAGATGAAGGCAGCCCAGGACCCCACTTCTCATCAGCAATGGAGGCCTGTGGTTATGCTGACAAGATCTTGCTTCCATCCAAAGTACAATCCTTTCCAAACCCAACCCYGATTTGTATCTTATCTGGCTCTAAACCTGAGTAGGGGTGTACCCRGGGCCATTCAACTTTCCCCATTCTTATTACATTTCAGCAGCTGCCCCTACTCTGGTACTTAAAGAACCACAACAGAAGACGTTTCTACAACATTTTAAAAAAAAGTTTTTTTGTTATGTTTTAGGTAAGATATTGAGGCACTGCCCCCTTGTTCATCCTCTTAAGAGTAGCCCAGTTATATTGGAAAGAGTCAATAGCTGGCCTATACAGGGTTCATCTCTTAAAAGGCCATAGCTCCAGATGTCATTTTTCAGATAAGTCCAGCTTAAGTCCTTTTCAACTTGGGAGTAAGGCTGCTTCCATAGGTTTCTTCAGTTGGATCGTAACTGGGTGCCAGCTCAAGTAGCAAAGTACCTTTAATAGAACAGTTTGTAAAAAAAAAGTCATTCAAACATAGCTGTCCAGTGCATCGGTWCATGTGTGTATGTCTCGACCTCCTCTCCTGTGCTCCAGATTCTTAGCTGGGTGGAGGCAGGAGACCGACCGCACAGGTCTTTCAAGAACAGCAGCAGCACTCCATTTGTTGGTGCTCAGGCTTGGAACTCAGGATGCGGAGGCCGCTCCCCTCCGGCGGGCTGCCCGCACCAGGCACTGCTGTAATACGGGGTAGAGGCGCTGGCAGCCTTCGAGGCCCAAGCGCAAGGCCTCGGCCCAGCTCTCGGTCTGGCCGCCCTCCCCGCTGCCCAGCAGCCCGGCCACCTGATTGAGCACCGGCATAAGCGCCACGGTGAAACCGGCGGCGGCGCGCTCCTCCTCGAGCCGCGTGGGATCCAGCAGCCAGGTGGGCGAGGGTCCCGGCGAGAGACTCAGGCCACAGCCMACCACTAGGTCGTACATCTCAATTCCCGCGTCGGCCAGGGCAAGCGCCGCGGCCGTGAGCGCGGCGGCCAGCGCCGAGCCGCCGTCCTCCAGCAGCAGCGCCGACACCTCGAGCTGCGCGCGCGGATAGCGCCCCAGGCGCACAGCCGGCTCCAGTGCCTCCTGCAGCGCCAGGGCCAACTCGCGCTCCTCGCCGCCGCCCGGGGGCGCGCGGCGTCTGCGGCCCGAGAAGGGTGCGCGGCGAAAGTCGCAGAGCAGGCGACCGCGCAGCGCGGCCGGGGCCTCGCCGCCCGCTCCAGCAGGGCCACTGCCGCGCTCGCCGCCCTCGGCCTGGCGCGGGCCAGACACGGCGCACAGCACCTTGGTACCGCCCGCCTCCAGGTAGGCCGACCCTTTGGCCTGGCTCAGAAGCCCGGCGCGCGCGTACACAGGCCGCAGCCGTGTCGGGTCGCGGGGGGCAGGCGGCTCGTCCTCGTCCGCCGCGTACAGTTGAGGTGGTTGGGACTCCTCGGGCCCGCGGATGCGACGGTGGTCTCCAGGCATGGCAGCACCCGGAGTGCGAGCCGCTTCCGCCCCCAGCCCTGCCTCGTGCGCCGGCTCTTCCGCCAGCTTAAAGACGCGCGCCCGGGTGAGGGCTGTCGGGATAGCAGCAGGCGGGGAGCCCACACTGCCCCTTGCCGGCCTGGAGGAAGAACAGCGAGTGAAACCGCTTGCAAGGGGCAAGGAAGCCCAGGCCTGCCAGGGGGAGCAAGGCCGAATCCAGCTGATCGCGTCTCCCAGGCCAGGATGTTAATCTTCTTTTCCTGTGAAGGTTGCAGTTATCTTAATTTTGCACGTGTGCAACTCTTTTATGGATTTGTCCAAGGCAAGGACYTTTTGGTTCCTGAATTCCTGTACTCCAGGCCCTAGTTGATATACTTGTTTAATGAATGGATGGAATGTCCCTCTTGCTGCATTGGGCACTAGACAATGTAGTCAATCTCTAGCACTTCTGGCACCTGTCTGGCACATGSGGCTTTAACCCAGGGTCCCAGCCCCCTCCCTCTTCCTCATACCCTATGGGAGGAGGGCCTCTTTCTTGCAGCATAGACCTGCTCCCCCTTCAACTCTGACGGCAGGGCCAAGAGTGACCCTTGGCCCCAGGACCAGTTAGCTATATCGGGTATCTAACACAGGCAAGCTATATATTTACTTCCCACATACTGATTCCGAACTGCAGTTTTAGACTGAATTTCAATTTCAACTGAATTCAGAGCTAGACCTGGGTCTTTATCCTCACTGACCGTGTTTGGGTCAAGCAAGTGGGAATGGGGCAGTTACTGGAGTGAGGGTGGGGGGCAATGCTACACCTGAATTCTTCTCATAAGCCACCTGACTTCACAGCAGCTGCCTCAAACGGAGGGCGCGGCACACAATGTCCCCAGCAGACAGTCTAAGACATGGAGATGTTCTCCCCAAGAGAAGCTCTAAGAAAAGCATTTCTTTGCTTTCTGTAACTCTTGGTAGATTTTTTTCTTTTTTGCAGTGCTGCGGATGGAACCCAGGGCCTTTATATACTAGGCAAGTGCTCTACCACAGAGCTACATCCATAGCCCTAAGTCTTGTTTATTATTTTTTGCTGTACTGAGGATCAAACCTGGGGCACTCTACCACTGAGCTACATTCCCAGTCCTTTTTATTTTTAGACAGGGTCTTGCTGAGTGGCTGAGGCTGGTCTCAAATTTGCAATTCTCCTGCTTCTAAGTAGCTGGGATTACAGATGTGTGCCATCACATCTGGCTCATTTCTATTGAATTATTAATAGCTCTCTTCATCTCACCCCACCTAGTTTGCCTCCACCTCCACAAATGTCTTGAGGTAATTCCTGGGGGCTCAGGAGCCTGACTCAGTAAGGACTGCAACCAGGAACCAGCTGGAACACAGCATAAATTCTACAGGAGTCCCTCAGGAGAAGCAGGGACACAGATCACATGGCAGCATCAAGTTATTGCACATGGTCCTTTTATTCTCTGCAGCAAAAAGTTTTCCTACCTGCAGACCCAAAACTCTCTGGTTGGCAGAGAACTGTTATCTACAGACACGATCATGAAGTTGTTAAATAGCAATCCTGGGGTAGTAGTTCTAAATAGATGGCATTGATATGAAGGGCAGTAATGTAATGGGGCACCGAGTCACAGGATGGCTCTCAGGTGTGTTCCAGTTACTGCTGGGTTAGGACGGATGGCGCTGTTTATAAAGTTCCAAGATTCTAATGTCCTTGTGGTAGATGGAGAGCTCCCAGCTGGACTGATGTATCCGGGTGAGAGGGAGACACCTGCCAGTGAGAGCCCCCCTCCCCTCAGTTCTTCACGTCTCCTAGGCGGAGCTGGGCAAAAGAAGTGGCCAGCTGTAGTGCCTCCTGCAGGCAGCCCACATTCTTGCCTGTGGCCTGGGCAGACACGTCCTTGCCACCACCTTTGCCATCCATTAGGCCTGACACCTGCTGTACCCACTCACTGGCTTTTAAGCCCCGGTTGGCTGCATTCTGAAAGACAGGAAGGGGAAGTGGGAGTCAGGTCAGAGGATAGGATTAAAGGGGCATGGAGGGAAAGAAAAAGGAGGGAAAGCCACTGTTACCCGCCTCCTGCCCTGGGTGTTGCTGCCAGAGTCCGAGACATACTCTACAAATGGTAGAGGATTAGTCAGTGGCCACTGCCAGGATGAAGAAGAATGGCTAAGCCAGAAGTCAGCCAGTACAGTCACACATAGTCACAAATGAAAAGGCCTGAGGGTAGGTGGTACTGAAAAAGGTGACACACAGGTGGACAGGAGGTTGGCTGTTTTTTTTACAAGGGCTGCACACACATAAATGGGTCTCAGCAAACAACAGAAGAACCAAACTCTGAGAAGCCAGATTGTGCTTCCCTGAGGTGCAGAGGTTTACAGGCTTTGGAACAAGGTTGCAGGGAGTTCTGACCTGGGTGACTTGACACAAGCAGGTGATCTTGCCAGCCTCATTGTCCACTGTGAAGAGCATGGCAGACGTCTGTGGGGAATGCGTCTTGAAAAGCTTCAAGGCTTCATTCAGAGCCTACAGGGGGAACCTAGTGTTAGGCTAGGGCCCTGGGGCAGGAGGCCCTGCTCTAAATCAGGGAGTTTACAGAGCTCAGCCCTCAAGCCACCACCCCAATTCCTTCTAAGAGCAGGTGCTGTCCCTGGGAGCCTGTATGAAGAAGGACCAAGCCCAGAGCTCTGCCCACATTCTGGCTCTGAAGTTTGCMTTATAACTCCAGGGAGCTGCTCCTTCTTCCAGCTCATATTTCTCCATGGCTCAGTCTAACCTTAATCCTAGACAGCAAGCCCTCAGTTGACCACATGGCTCAGAGACTCAAAGCGCACCCATCTGCCACCAGAAGGCTGATGAGGCCTAGAAGGAARGGGACATGCAGTGGACAGGCCGGGAAGTGCCCAGACCCTAGCCCCTGATTGCCTTGGCTGAGGCGCCGCTCTCCATCTCCAGGATAACCAGAGGCTGGTTGGGGTTGCTGTCGATGAGCTGCTTTGTTCTCTCCAACACCTACAAGGAAGTCCAGCAGAGTGTCAGGCCAAAGGCCCAGACCCCGAAATCCAGGCAGCAGTCACCCTAGACTCTGTCCAGGAAATCCTCTTGGCTCCCTTCCTGCCACCAGCACAGCCAGGACTCACTCGCTTTTGGACGTCAGCTTTGCTAGCGCGGTCTAGGTCATCCATGATCTTCTTCAGGGATTTCAGAGTCTCTCGCAATTCGTCCTTCTGCCACTGGGGGATGACTGCAGTGGCCAGTGCCTGGAACAGGAACCAGAAGACTAACTGGCTCTGGGCTACATGGTGCTAGGATATGAAGCTCCAGCCCACCCCACCCTTCTTTTAAACCAAAGTCCTCTCCAGCTTGTGTCTAGGAAAAGATATTTGCTGGTCTTCAGACCAGTCACTGTAGCAATTGCAGCAGTTGTCACAAGCAAGGCTAGAGAGAAAGGGGCACTATAAAGAGGGCTCAGCTCTCATGTAAGACCTGGTCCTTACCAGGCCATGAGCACAGCTGAGAAGGCTTAGGGGAAGTTCCAGATGTTAAGAATCACCAGGCAGGCCTGGAAACAGTGGACACTCTCCCTCCACACCTCCCTCACCCCCACTCATGCTTAGAAAGGGCTCTCCTGCCAGCTGCACTGGAAGCAGTAGGCAGGGTCCAGGGATTTGTAGGCCAGCATCAAAAAAGTCCCCTTTGCAAGGCCACTGGATAACAAGTCAGCCCAGAGGCTACAGTGAGAGTTCCTTAAGAACATGGAGGGCCTTGCTCCATAGGCACACAAGCAATGAGCAGGCCAAGGAGGGAGTAAGGCTGTCCTTACCTCACCAAGGTCAGCAATCTCCCTCTGTACATCCTTGTTTGGTGCGGTCTGGGCCTTCACTTTGGCCTCCATAACAGACAAAGATTTCTTCAAGCTCTCTGCCTTCCTGAGGGCCTGGGAAGGGAACAGTCAGATCTATAAATCTGAGTCATCCCCCACTGGTCTCACAGCTCTGTCTGTAAATAGCTACAAAAGGAGCAACAGCACGTGTGGAGCACATGCTCTAAGAGACCAGAAATTTCTTTCCTCCGGGAAGCAAATGCTGACAGCCTCCTGCCCCAGAAAGGAGCACCTTCTTCACATGCCCAGTCAGCAAAAGTTGCCTGCTACATCAGGCTCAGGATGTCCAAGAAATCATAAATCAGGAGCCCTTTTCAAACTGTGAAATGACTAGTCCTCAGGATTTGGCACAAACTATAGTTCCCACTCTCCGAACATGCACCTCTATGTCCTGCACCTCACACTAGGTAAACATCCTTAGGATAGGTGGAGAAGAGAGGGAACCCTTGAAGCCACAGCAAAACTTTGGCTTACCCTCCTAGACATGGATGTACTGAGACAGAATTTACATACATTTAAAAGATTAATCATAACAGCTGGGAGTTAAACACGACAATGTGGTGGTGGCTTTCTTCTGCCAGGTAGAGTTAACTGGAGGACAGGTGGGGGTAACAATCTGGATTTTCCTTCTGAATACAGCAGCCACAGAACTGTTTGCTCCATGGATTCCCAAAATGGGCTCCCCCTGCCTTGTTCAAATAAACTACACACCTGCCTGCTGTGCTCACCTTCTGAGCTTCAGCACCTGTGACAGCAACAATCCTCCTGATACCCTTGGCAATAGCTTCTTCAGTCACAATCACAAAAGCTCCTGCATGACTTGAATTCCGCAGATGCCTGAATGGCAGAACACAAATCAGGAGTGAAAGGAAGCCCAGATGTGCTGCTTGTCATGTTCTGATTTGGGGGAAAAAAAAAAAAAAAAGAAAGGAAGCCCAGGATCCCTAGCCACCTCCCTACCCCTGGGGAGCCCATAGCTGCTAGGCTGAACCCCATGAGGTCATCATCCCTCAGAGAACAGTGGGTAATTACCTCGTATTTAAGGAAATTTCAGAACACAACTCTGGCTAAATAAGAACAGTAGAAGCAGTAAGGGAAAGAGAGAGAAGGCCTGGGCTTAAGAGTGTTCTGACACTGGGTAGACACCATCCCTCTGGGTTTCA